GGAAATTAAAAGCATGACTGACACTTTTACCTTTTCTAAGTCATTATTATGAAGTTGGTTTTAGAGTCAATACATGGATTTTTCAAGCTCTTACAGACTTCATGTCCTATTTTTTTTTAAATGAACTATAATAAAACAGCATACAGTTCCCAAGGATAGATATAGCCTTTCTTCATGCTTTTAGGCCTAAGAAATTTTGAAAGAGTCTTGCAGAAGTGGTAACAAAGTAAGTGAGCATCTTCCACTCACCCCATTCATCTCTCCAGTTAAATAAATGCTTGTGACTAATATAAGAGAAAAAAATATCCAGCTCCGAGGTAAACAAACTGATGCAGAACACACTGATGAGCAACCAGGTGTCTGTTTTTCCTCTATGAAAAGCATTGGCTGCTTTGATTTGATTCTTTGTTTTATCTTCCAACAGAGCTCTTTTCCATTTGCTCAAGGACGAAACCTCAGCCAACATTTTCCCCCCATTGTTTTTAGTTTATAAAAAGACTTACCTAAAAAAATTGCTTTCCTCACTGTGGAAGGTCATGAACCTGATCATTTGGCCATCTATGAGTTTTGAATTTTAAGCACAGGGATTGATTTCAGCCTGCAAGACCATGCAAAGGAGGAGAAGCAGACTCTTAGCTTAATCAGGCCAGCTGCTTTCTCAGCATTCACTTCCCGCAAAGCCTGACATTTCAGAGAAGAAAGCCTTATTATTCACTGGGCTGTACTCTACAAAAAAGAAAAAATTCAAATGATGGGGTTATAAATTGATGTAGTGAGCACCCTGTTGATTTTTAAAAGCCATTTATATTTTAGCTTAGCAGCTTCCTTACGGATATGGCTTGCTGTGTGCTATACTCCATGTGATCGTGTGCTGCCATAATTCATTCTTTTACATGTGTGGCACTAACCAAAATGTAAAGCAGATAATCCCAACCAACTATTCATACTTGTATCAGGTATCAATTCAGCATTTTCAAAAGAATCAAGCCAAAAAAAATTATGATTCTTTTTTTCAGGTGGAAATGCATGAATTTGAACACCTTACTTTACAGCCAACTAAGCTCCATTTTACTGAGCAATATCAAAACACTGATGGCTTCTTTTTATAGATATGCAGGACAAATCTCTTATTACTTGCACACAGAAAACTCCCAGCTGGGGCTGTGGATTGGCATTTAATAATCATAGAAATACATGTTTCCTATTCCAAACCATCAGTATCTTAAGATTAACAAATACATGAGAACAGCTTAGTTTATAGGAAGTGTAGAGAGATTGCTTGTTATGAAAAAGTAGGATATCCTGGAAGAAACAGTTTTAAAGGGAAAGAGAGAATGCTGGACAAACTTAGGAGACTGTTCCAAGCTACACATAGGGGGCCATGTGAATGAAGGTTCACAGCTGAGAAGGCAGGAAGGTGGCAAAGGGAATGCATATATGCATGTATTGCCCTACACGAACAAAGCAGTTTATTGGCAAAAACTGAAGCATACATATATTGACTAGAAACTTAATATTCAGCCAAATTCATTAGAGCTAAGAAAATGGAAAATCTTTATCCCTGCTAGTCATCTTGAGGAAAAAAAAAACATGCATATTGTAAGTTTTTCTTCTTCTTCCCTTGGACAAATGATGTTTCTGTAATTTATATCCTTTACAGCATTTTCCATTGCCACAATGACATCTACTGGTGGGGCCAGGGTTAAACACCTGAAGATTTCTTTGTTTGCTTCTAACATTTTGCATCAGTATGTTTGGCATCAGGCAACAGCCTACTTTGTCGACAAGAGCTCATGTCTCCCTGAGCCAGTTAGTTTCTAATGGGCCACCCTAACCTGCTTATTCTTGGCACAGGGTCACTTATTAATAATAGATTTCAATAACAGTTGAAATACCAGGTACATGAAGTGCCAATTACCCAGTAAGGTCTTTTAAAATTATTAGCTGATGAAGAAACAAGCACATCAAAGCAATTAACATCCATTTCATCTAAGAGTAAAGCACAACAGAAAACTGGTATTATAAAAGTGTCTGTTACACATCTTTTCAATAAGACCAAACTGTAGATTTTTTCAAAAGAAACAAGAATCCAGAAATTGTTTATACAGATCCTAGCTTGAAGGTGTTTTTATTTATTTAATAATTTAATGAGAATCAGTGGTTTTTAACTGTAGGAAAAAAATATATAGTTCTGGAAGGTGAATGCAAGTGTATCTTTGGTTGTTCTCAACTAAACTTTAGCATCTTCTTGTTGGCCCAGTGTTGTAGACATCTGTTTTGCCAAGTTGGCTTTGGAGTATTTCTGGAGTTTGTTTGGGGTAAAATTGATGTACTGAAATATGTATCCATGTGGAACAAGTTATCTGGAAATAAAAATTTCTAAAGGAAAATACTGTTCGGTGTCTTTACTGATTTTCCTTAATTTTTTTTTGCCATTGTAGGAATGTGGATGCATCTTGGAAACACTTAACAGGCTGTCTTTCTTTACTCATTGTACCTCCAAAAAGAAAATATTTCAGTCCCATGCCTAAGGGGATCCAATGACTGGAGTGAAGACAAAAAAGAGACATAACCAACAAGTTTTGTGCCCTGGGCAAAACCCTGCTGGAGAGTAGGGTGGAAGTGGTCAGGGTTGTTATTTTCCCTGCCCTGGGGACTCAAAGACTCCATCTCCTGCCGCTGTGTCACTCTTTGCCCACCCCAGCTGTGGATGTTGCTGCAATGTGCACACTGCTTCTGCACCCAGCTGCTACTGCTATGGCAAAGAATCCCCAGGGAGCACCCCCTCCAAGCTGGCACCTGGGGCTGGTGTCCCCCTACCCACCTCTGCTTACACTACTGGGATGATGTTCCCAGTCCATCCTCTGTCCTCCACACAAACCCTTAGAAAGGCCTTTGGGGAGTTCAGAGAAAGAGGGATTAGCGTCCTGGAAGCAACTGGCATGTGGTGGCAAAGGAAATTTGCACCTGCAGGAACTGTCAGTACATGAATTTGGGGGAGGACAGAAAGGGTCCATTTAGATCCTGGTTATTACTGCAGAATGAACTTATGCATTTGTTTTTTTAGGGGAGAAAATAGTGGGAAAACAAGGCTAAATTCTGCCATTGAACAAGACACAGACATAAAACAATCCCGGTTGAAGAAGGTCCCAAGTCTAAATGACAGGTGAGGCAAGACTCACTGGAAACCTTAGAAGAAGGCTTCAACATAAAACAACCATTTGTGAGGAGTAACAGGTGGATGTGGCTGATATCAGATACTGGAGACGAAGCATTGGGAGAAATTGCAGTTGCCAGAGAGTAAGGCTTAGTGCACAAGGCCCTGGAGTTATTCCATGCATAGGCAACACATGAAAGGCCATCTATACTTGGTTCTGCTGCCTGCAGAACTTCTAGCAGCACAGGACAACAGCTGTGCAGAAGCCAAGCAAGTGCTTCATATGGCTCCAATCTGCAGGTATACTGTCAAGACATGAAGTACAGCTCAAGAAGCTACCAGCTGCTGGAGGGCCCAAAGCAATCAGCAGAAAGCTGGAGATGTCCACACCCAGCTTCTTGTCAAGGCTTCTTTTGGTCAGTGAAGTGGTATTAGTTTTCTGCAGAAAAAGAGGTTCTACTACTATACTGCAGCTGTGTGCGTAGACCAGACACCTTCCAGAATGGAAGGTGAATATGAAGGAACCACTGGTGTAAGCAGTAGGGTTTATATCCTGAGTAAATCCTGCAGGAGAGTGGGAGTTTGGGTGAGTGCAGGAATCTTATTCAGACCCCACTTGCTGCTGCCACTGCAATATAGTTTTCCCCCAGTACCAAAACAGATTTCCCATGATCTGCACAAAATGCTCCCTTTAAATACATCCCAATATGCTAGAACTTTTTTTTTTTTCACTACTTACTGCAATATTTTTTAACCTATTACAAAGTATTCTGCAAAAGTAGAGTCACATAACTCCTCTTTTCTGAAAGCAAAATTAAATAAGCAACACTTTTAGCAAATGCTAGCACTGTTTCTCAGACAGATGTTTATAAACTGGAGCAACAAGGAACTACTACAGTTCAGAAGGATGTCTGCCATATATTAGAGATCACACTGTAGAGGTTCATATGCAGAAAAAAGGAGCAGTGAATAGGGAACAAGAACACTGAGGAGAACAGTTAAAGACAGACATGGCCATTTTACAGTAGCAGGAAAAACAACAGGTTGTTACTGTCACAGAAATCATGCAAACTGCACCTCATCTCCTGTGACTCCCTGAGCACACTCCTGCCCATACCCCAGGCCTCTAGCCATCACTTGTTCCTCGTGATGGAATCACACAATTCCTTCACTTGCAAGCCAGGCTGTGGCCACGGTACTATCAGTTGCAATTTCCTCCGTTCATGTGAGGCTCAGACGCTGAAGTTCTGTTCTCTCTGGCAGCAAACGCAGTAGTAAACAGTGACCAACTTCCTCACAGCACGGTGTTATTTATTTCAAACAGCAGTACTTCAGGGAAACTATATTTTAAAAGAGTTAAACAAACTGTACTCATATCTTCTTTTTTCCCCCCTAAGGCTTACCGCTTTCTAAATCTGGGAAGGCTTAATTTTCACGCAATCACAGAAAAGCAGGGTTGGAAGGGACCTTCAGAGGTCATCTAGTTCCACCCCCCTCCACAGGATCATCTTTATCCAAGCCATCCCATACAAATCCCTTGTCTAACCTATTAGTCAAACTACAGAATCAACCCCGACACAACCACAAGGCACAACACCTGCCACAAGTAAACAACAGTGGCCAATGTCCTGCTGCTGCAAGGGTTATTAAAATCCACACGAGAGATCCAAGGAAGAGGGCCACTCCCCATGCTATAAAAGAGACACGAGTGCAGCGTCCGCGTCCGGCACGAGCACTACAGCCAAAAGGGGTTCTCTCACGTCTATATGGAGAGTCCTAGGGACGAGGGTCACAAGCCAACGGGCCAGAAGAGAGAAACAAATGCAGGTAAAAAGACACTCACAGTGTAACAGCGTGCAGGCAAAGGGTAAGTAACAGGTAGCAGTCAGTGCCACTAGAATACATACATTCAGCACATAAAGTTCCCTCTCCCCACCTCTGGAGGTGTGCCCGGGAACCAGCCTTCAGTCCAAAGTCACTCTGCACAGGTCTCCAAGGCGGGGATCACACGCATCCAGTCCGCGGCTCGGCTGTGCCGCTGCCTCGCTTCCCCTCTCCCCGCTCTCTCCCGCTTCCAGGCACGGAGCCAGGTCGGAACCGTCCGCTCACTTCCTCTCTCCACCCAGAGGCCTCTGGGACTCGTAGTCCACAATCACAGCCAGCGGCACTCCGCCGCTCATTGCCTCTCACCACTTCCTCTTCCTGCTTCCAGAGACCTCTGGGATTTGTAGTCCAGATTTACAGCAGCAGGACTCCGCAAGGTTGCTTCGCCATCTGTTAGGGGTATAGGTGTTGGTCTAGGGACATAGGCACACAAGGGTCTTCGGGTAAATCCGATATCTTTTATTAGACCAACTCAAATAGTTGTGGGGGAGGGGGGAGAATTCTTTTCTGCAAGCTTTTGAGTACAAACACCCTTCTTCAGGCTGAGGAAGTCTGCAGTGGGATGTGCTCTTCCTGGATGGGATGGAAGAGAACAGAACAGAACAGAACACCATTCTCTGGTCTCACTTCTATTCCATCCAGGAAGAGCACAGACTTCCTCAGCCTTGAGAAGGGTGTTTGTACCCAAAAGCTAGCAGAGAAGAATTTTTTCCCCCCCAACTATTTGAGTTGGTCTAATGAAAGATACCGGATTTACCCAAAGAACCATGTCTCCCCTTCTATTACACGTTCATATTACATTTCCAATTCACACCATGCAATTACGTTACACAGTGCATAAGTGACAGAAGGCCCCACCCCAGTCTGACCATGGGGTAAAATTCTCTGGATCCCAAGCATGGCAGTCACTCTGACCCTAAGAGAAGTGGCAAGACCCTCTATCCAGGTTTAAGCTCCAGCAGCAGCACTGGCACACCACAGTCAAAATCCTTAGCCCTAGCTATAGCCAATATACAATACTCCTGAGAAAGGCAACAAAAAACAGAAGCAGCATATAGAAGCAGGAGAGAAAAAAAATCCTTTCAAGCCCCATTTGGCAACTAGCCAAGCCCAGAGGCATAGGAAATACCTATAGTAGAGCATAGGCAATTTATTTACCAGTAGATAAATTATATAAATATACTATTTTACCTGTAGAATCCCTCTCTCCATGGTCATCTCTTAATGCATCTCCCCCACCCTCTCTCAGATGTTTTTAAGTGTTTGGCAACCTTTTAATCTCCAAGTTGCAGCCTGAAGTTTGCATCTTTCTTGGAAACTACATGTAACATCCTTGCAGCTGACAGCTTTGCCTACTGTCTTTTTAATGTGCTTGGGTTCTCATCTAGAAAGTAAGTGCATGTTTCCTGTTTCTTTTTCCCCACAGCCCCCAAAGTAAGTTAGATCAATACAGGAAATTCTTATAATCCAATATCCATACATGATAACTTCTCCTCACTGGCCCAATCATTTACAGTTTTCATAAAGCTGTTACAATCTGGCACTCATACATAACATAAAATTAATTCTTGTTATGGTTATCCCCCATTCCTAATATAATCGCAAAACATTATGGTCACATCCCTTAGATCAGCCTCTCAGCCTATGGGTCATGACCCAAAAGTGGGTTACAAGAGTATATGAAAGGGTCATGAACAAACTTTAAAAGTGGATCATATTTTGCATGCTGCTTGTGCTTCACCATATGTTAACGCTGTGCCTACTAATAAACAGGGATCTAGGTTTTCCATTTGCCATGGAAAAAAACATGGGAAATGTAGCAGGCTTACAGCCACATCTGTGATGCCTCCTGGTAGCTGTGTGGCTCCTGCCCTGCTCCAACTCTAATGTTGCTCTCCCTAGATTGCTCCCTCACAAAGTCCTGTTCTTTTGCAAGTTGAGTAAGGGAGGCTGCCCAGAGGCCTGAATGCCAACACTTCCTACACCATGTCTCTCCTGGACCCCACTTGTCTTAATCCAGCCTGATAGGTTCCTCTTGGCCCAACTATGCCTTCATAGGGCACCTATAGCCTTAAAAGCAAATTGCATGGCTCCATTCTTCCCCTATACTACACCCTAAGCTTCACAGGTGTTCCCCAAGCATGTTATATTCACATTCAGTCCCCCTTGGGCCCCCAGACCCTTCACTCAGCCTTTCTTCTGAGCTTTCGGGCATCCTGGTCCCTCTAGATTCCTGGACCCTTGGTTCTATGCACAATCCCTCTCTCTCTGGGCTCCAGACCCCTGGTCTCATGTTCAGCCCCTGCATTTTGTCTCCCAGGCCCCTGGTCTGGCTCACAGCCCCTCTCTCCAGACTTGTGGACCCTCATCCAGCTCTTGCCTTGTCACTAGGCCTGCAGACCCTCTGATCTGATTGTCAGTCAACCGTCAGCTCCGGAACATCCAGGTCCCAAACTCAGGTACTCTCCTTGCCTTAGGACCTCCTTGGGTCTCACATTCCCAGCCCTTTATGGGACTGGGGCTCATGGATCCCTACTCTCTAGACCCTTGCACCCACTGCTGGGTCTCACTTTTATCCTCTCCTGGGCTGCTGGACCTTTAAGTAAGCCTTGCCTGCCCTTACAGGGCTCCAGGCTAAACTGCTAGTACAACCTAATAACAAACATCTGCCCTCTGCAGGCATTCAAGCCCTCTCTAGACTTAACATAAACCAGGGCCACCTGCCTATATAACCAACCCCCTCCCTACCCCAGATGCCTTTCTTTATTCCCTGTGTTGCAGAGTGGCTTTCTTTCAGCATTCAGGAACTCTGCTGCTACAACTTCTTCACTGCATGGTTCCTAGGACTGGACTGCCTAGGTTGCTCTGGCTCAGGGCTTATACAGCTGCCAGTCAGGTGAGTCCTTAATTACCCACCTTTGTCACCTGCAAGCAGCCTCTCAGGCTGCTTGCTCCCTTAAAGGACCAGGAACATCTCAGCACCCTGCTATGGGCAACTGGGGGTTTCCCTTTACAGGCTAGTAGAGTTCCAGCCTGCAAGGCTACTGGGAGCAGTGGGAGGAGGGTGATTATCATACATGCACATGGCAGTCAGGCAGCATGGAGAGCAGCTCCAACAACTCCCCATAGGTAAGTCTATGGAACAGACAGTGCAGCTCAGATGATGCATCCGGGAGGGGGGCACAGACAGCACACCAGGAGAGAAATGGGAGCACTTCCCCCAGCACCCACAGCTGGCACAGGGCTATAGTCTGGCTGGATCGGCATGGGCAGAAGCAGCATCTGTGGTTCATCATCAGGGAGGACCTGGCACGGGAGAGTGGAAACAGTGACACTCATTGTTGCTGTTGCTGCTACTGGGACCCCTGCACCAGCTGCAGCACCAGCAGCGCAAGAAATAACAGACCGGGGGGAGGGGGGCATGCTAACCTCACTTGCCCAACACACCCACCCTCTGCCCCATGCCCTGGGGGGGTTGGGGCCTGGGGGCAGGAGACAGTGTGTCAGGAGTGAGGGGCACCAGCAGGGCCGGGTGGTGAGGGGCACCAGCAGGGCCAGGGGGCTTTTTTCTACATAAACTATTCATTGTCTGGACTGGCCATTGATGTTTACAAATGGGTCCTGGTACAAAAAAGATTGAGAACCACTGCCTTAGATAAAAGAACAGACTGTGTGTGACTATGCCCACATGAAGGAACATTTTTAATGTGCTTTCTTCTTTTATGCTGTATTATGCTTATCTAGAAAAATCAGTTGTCCTAATCCTTAAATGCTTCTTCACCCTATAATCTAAATGAGGATTAGAACTGTTAAAAGCCTGCTAGGTCTCTTTGATTTCCATTTACTTGCTTCAGACCATCAGGATTACTGGGTTTTGAGCTCCATGGTTTAGTTTATAAAGACATTACAAGCACATCAAATATGCATAAATATCAGCGCATTAATTTGATGGTAAATTAAAGGAACAATTGTTTTGGCCATTTATCTTTATCTATATATGGTATCTAATTATCAGATCAATGAAGAATATGCAAACTCCTTAGGTACCTATGGTCTAAACCCTAAGAGCTAGAATGTGGCTTTTGTAGAGAAGCCTTGAACAGTAGGTACACCGATACTTTATCTCACATAGCAATGGAACAAGTTGTTCACCCTTCACACAAGAGAGACTGTGGCTTTCTCAACACACTGAAACCCTTCTCCAAGCCAGTACAGATGGCATCAGCCTCATCCCTTCCCTTTTTTATGCGGTCCAGCTCCCCTCGGGCCAATAGAAACAAGTAGACTCCCCAGCATGCAAAGAACATGAGTCCATTACTGAGCTCAGCACAGCAAGGTGATGCACACTTATGCACATGCTTAACTTTAAGTATCTGATCAGGGCTGGAGTTTTTTCTGCTCTTTGCAAGATCACTGTAAGCAGCTTCCTTTAAGCCCTTGCAGGGACCATTCCTATTTAAGGCTGTTACATTTCTCATAGATCCTGTCTCCAGTGAGTCCCATCGTTTTGCAATCTTATATTTCCATGCTCTAGTCATTTTTCCCCAAGACATATTCTAAATTGCTTCCTAAGTTTAACATATAAGGGAATCATTTACATACCACTGAAATAACACAACTGCTTGACGGTACACAGCTATGCTACACAGCATTTTAAGACAGTGAGAAAAGCATGCCCATCTAAATAAAACCTCAGAGAAATTTTAGACCAGCAGAATGTAATCACTGCCTTGAAATTTGGCCAAAAAACCAGGAGCAAAATTAATATCTTATGCAAGTAGTTGCAGCCCTGTTAATGTCAATGGATTTGCATTTGTTTACAACATGAATTTGGCCTCGGGTCTAACAGCCCTGTTTTGTTTTGTTTTTTAATACATCTTTATCTATCACAAGAGCTAAAGACCTTTGTTTTCTGTTTCATCATGCTGCCTCTTACAAACTTGCACAAACTGTAAACAATATTTTTGTTGTTTACTCTCAAGGAATAATCATCTATACTGTTTCCTGAAGCATGTGCATTTTCCATGACCACACATTTTTTCCGTATCGGTGGAAGGGTACACGCACAGAGTACCCTGACACAGGTCAGGGCATAGACAAGTATGTGCTCTCTGCATACAAAACTGTTCCAGGTGGTAAAGCTCATATGAAGCAGCTCCATGTGTCCCCAGTGCAGGACAATATTTGACAGATACTGTCTGGACCTTACATATTTGCAAAGTTCACTATGAATTTGCTTGT